GGGCCAGGAAGGCCTTTCAGGGGAGAGGGCTGGGGATATGTGTGTTCGTGCCAGAGAGGAAAAGTGACGTGTACATGAAGGGTGTGTGCGTGCACACGCGTGTGCTGCATGTGCTCGGATGGGGTCGGGCGCAGTGGGCGGGGGCAGCTGCCAGCTGTTTGCATGCTTGCAGCACATGTCACTTGCACCGCATGACCCCGCCCCACCCTGCCCTACATCGCCCCACCACGCCCAATCCTGCCCTTGGCAGGCGTATCCCTTTGACAAGCAGTCGCTGCTGCTGCAAATGGAGGTCCCACAGGTGGGTGACAGGGAGTTGCAAGGCAGCCAGGGGCTGCCATGTTTCAAGGGAAAGCAACAAAGCGCGTCGGGAGCGCCGCGAGCCGCTGCTGCAGCTGCCACCCGCGCCTTCGCGTTTGCGGCCAGCAAAGCCTGGCCCGGCCGACCTGCACACACCGCCACGAGGCTCCTGTCGCCCCGCCGTGGCCCTGTATGAGAGTTGCCCCGCCGGGGAGCCGACCTCGCAGCCCCACGCGTGCCGCCCGCGCCTGCCAGGCTCGCACGGGCTGGAGTGGCGCGCTGGTCAACCTCATCCCCTCTGTCACAGGGAACGCCATGTTCACCGCGCGCACGGGTGCGAGGGCAGGGCTGCGGGCATTTTTATCACTGCCGGAACTGACCCAACGCAGCGGTCCCAGCGCAAGCCCGCCCCCGCCCCACCCCAAGCCTTGAGTACCAGTAGGCACGCGGCCATTGTTATGACCGGACCCACTCATGCTGACAGCCTTGCGCCCCCCTCGCCGCTTGCTCTCATCACCCTTTTGCGGCTGCGCGTGTGCCTGCCGTCGACGCCACCCATGCAGGCAGCGACCAGCTCAGCGGCTGGTCGGTGGAGGGCATCCGGTTGTCACCCTACGGCTACCCCCTCTGCAAGATGCCCTTGGAGCACGCCAACTCGCCGTCGCCGCCGGACGACCCGTCGCCGCTGGTACCGGGCCATGCATATGCTCTGAAGCAGGGGGCCATGGAGGGCAGCTGCGGCGCAGCAATAGCGGCGCTGCCAGACCCGCGGGCCAGCGTGTTTTACCGCAACGCGCTCGTGGGGGGCGTGGCGGGACAGCCGATCGTGGTGTCTGGGCTGAACGTTGAGATCATCGTGAGGCGGTTCTGGGTGCCACACGTCATAACAGGTGAGGCCGTGGGCAGAGAGTGGAGTGGGGTGGGGATGGGGTGAGGGGAGGGTGGGTCGTGGCTGGGGTAGGAGTGTTTGGGCACCTGCGCGCAACTCTGTGTGCATCGCTTGCATTTGATGGGCGTGCAGTGAATGAGTATGCGGCGTGAGTGTGCGCGTGGCAACCCAGTGCGTTGCACCCCTGGCGCCTTGGCGGTCGCCAGTCTGCATTTGACATAGCATTCGCTCTGCCGGTCTCTTGTCTTCCTTGTGCATTTCACGCCATGCACCTGCTCATCCTCACGCCTCTCCATACCCCCGTCCCATGCAAATTCAATTCAAATTTGTCTGCAGCGATCCTGCCCGTCGTGGCCACCACCTGGCTGGCCTTCCTGGTGTTCTTCCTGCCCCGCAAGGACATGGAGGCGCGCCTGGGGGCAGTCACGGGGCTCTTCCTAGCACTGGCAGCCATCCAGTTCGTCATCACAGGTGCAGGGGGCCGCCCCTGCAGCGGCCGCGGCCGGCTTCGCCGCGCCTTGCAGCCAGCCCGGCTGAGCCACAGCTTTGCATCCCATCCGCGCGCTGTGAAGCCACCTGGATCTGCAGATACTTGTTCACACAAGGCTTGCCTCCTTGCTGCGGGGGCATGGCACAGCACGATCACAGCAAACTAAACAAAATTAACTCACGCCCTGCCCCTCCGCAACACTACCCCACGCCCACCCGGCCCCCTCTGCAACGTGCGCCACCCTGCCAGGCATGACCCCCGCCAGCTCATACGTCACGGCAATGCAGCAGCTGGTGCTGGTGTCCTACGTGACACTCCTACTGGTGAGTGGGGCAACTGGGTCGTGCCATACCTGCACAGCGATGGCGCTGCGGACCAAGTGTCTGCATCCATGATTGCACGGTCATGTGTGCAGCTGCATCATGACATCGTTAGTCATGGGTGTCTGTCAGTGATGTCACCGGCATACCGGCTGCTCTCACCATCCTCCGCGATCCGCCCGACCGCCCCTTGTTGCCGCCCCCGCCCCCCCCTCCAGACCGGCCTTGAGAACGTGGTCCTGTGGTGGCTGACCACCTACCACAAGAACAAGCAAAAGTGGGCGCTTCGAATCAAGGGGATTTGCAGGAGCACCTTGCCACCGCGGGGCGCCCGACTTGCCGCAGCAGGCGCACGACCTTTCCTCGGTTGGACGCCCCACTGCTCGGCATCAGCTGGCAGGAACCCCCGTACAAACCTCCGAATCAGGCTCGCAAAACCGACGCAAGCCCGTGCCGACAATGAGCTGCCCATTACGGTGCTCACGCTGGCGCCTTTGCCTCCCGGGGCACTCCCCAACCGCCCCGCCCGCGCCCGGCCCGCAGGCAGCGCGCGCACCGGCAGGCACAGCTCGTGTACCAGGAGAAGCTGGCGTGCGTCCGCACCGCCGTCGACACGTGGTTGCACAACAGCCAGGCCGCAGTGGCAGAGCGCGCCCAGGGCGGCGGCGGCGAGCCGCCCTGCGGCGGACCCTCGCAGCTGTTGCAGACACGCTTCGGCGGCGGAGGTGATGGCGGCCCTGTGCAGCTAGGGCGCCTGCAGCGGCCAGTGGACCGGGAGCAGGCGAAGGGGGCCGGCTGCGCCTTGGCGGCCGTCGTCGCGCAGGCGTGTCTGCCTGAAAGGGGCCCGTGCTTCGGGCCGCCGCCATCCACTGCACACGACGCACCCTGCGGCGGCTGGGGGGCGGATCAGACGCAGCCGCGGCACCAGCAATCGCTGGGCCGCGATGCGATCAGCCAGGACGGGGCCGAGCTCAGGCTGCCAGTCATCGAGCTGCCTGAGGCAGGCCGCACCAGCGGCCCCAATGGTGTGCCTGTTGATGGCGCGGCAGCGCCAGCGGCGTGCAGCTCGCAATACGGGCCCGGCATGGATGCGCTGCGCGCCGCCGCAGCCGCTGCAGCGGCCGCCGAGGCCGCGGTCGTGGCCTCTGCGCCGACGCCGTGCTGCGCGTCGCCGCGCGCGGGCGCGTGGGGCCAGGGACGGCCGCGCATGCGGCGCGGGGACTCCCTGTTCGCCCACCTGCCAGCCTGGCGGCGCGGGCCTGCGCGGTGGTGGCATCAGTGGCAGCTGTTCCGGGCCTTTGTCGACGAAAACCCGGACTACGCAGACTCCGTTGCACACATGTGAGGGGTGCCAGGCGCGCGGCACGCGCACAGGGCGGGGTGCATGTGCTGGGTGCGCTCCGCCGCACGGCCGCTGCTTTCAGGCGGTCTCCTGTGCGCTCCTTGTCCTCGTTAAACGGCGCCCTGATCCCCATTCACTCGTTTTCACCCTCGTGTTACACACGGCCGCCTTCCTGATGTCGTGTCGACCAACCACTGACCAGCGGTCTCCTCACCCCTCTCAACGGCCCCGCCGCAGGTTCAACAAATGGGCGGCCCTGGGCCAGTTTTTGGCCTACAATTTGGCTGTCATCATCATCTTTGCGGTGGCCTCGCAGTACAGCGGCGGCACATAGAGGGCGTACTGCCTGGTGCGCGCCCTGGTTACACCGCGAGTGGTGCTGCAGGTGCGGCCGGTATCCTGTGGAGGATTGTCGAGCCACAAGTGCGAGTTGAAATTCTTGGCATCCGATCAAATTGATCAGATCAGTTTGATCAGTTTTCACCGAGCTGCAGCTTTGGTAGTGTTGAGGCCTTGAACGGCGACTCACGCGCCTAGCTCACGCATCCCTGTCACATCTATCTCACGGCACCTGCAAAGGCGCCAGCCTGAGCGCGCCATTGATGGCCCGCCGCGGCCCGTGGCCCACCAAAGCCTCGCGGTTTGTACGCCCTCATACCTTCCTCCTGCCTCCTCTGTGCGCGTTAGCACCTGCTGCCTTGGACATCAGCGCGGCAAGCTCCGCCTTGGCGGCTTCCGTACAGGCAATGGCGGCAATTTCTATTGCTTGCCCGGTCTGGCAAGGAACACCGGGCTGATGCCACGCTTTAGAACCCCCCCCCTTATGTTGGGGTGCAGGATTAGCCACAGCCGGCGCTCCAGGGGTGCGGAGGAGGTGGGGCAGAGTGTGAAGACATATCCGCTGGCCCGTTTGCTTGGGTGTGCGTGCATGCAGTCAAAGCCACCAGCCGCTAACAGGCGATGCTTTGCAGCGTGTTTGCGCCTATGTGCACAGTCGTCCTGTCACCAGCATTGTGGAATCATGTGTGCTGCCGTTTTTGCATGGAGCTTTACCTCATCTTGCTGGATTGTCAATGCAGGACAGCAGGGTGAAGGTGCCCGGAGCGATCTGCGAGGGCGCAAGCACATCCTTTTGTCAACCGATTTTCAGGTGCAGCTGCTGCTCATAACCCATGAAGCTGCCGTGATTGAGATGGTGGCAAACCCTGCCTAATTCTTTGCTTTGGCACGGACGCCTGCACGCGTTTCGCATACATCAACACCTCAGACCCGGTGGGCGCACGACATTATTTGCTAGGCTGTGCTGCCTCATGCTGCCGTCCACCTGTTCACGCCCAGACGGAACCATTTACACAGCCTACGTGTGCTGCCTCCGTTATCCTGAGTGCAGGCGCGCTGCAGGCGCCCTTGAAACTTTGCCCCTCAAACGCACCATACTGATTTGTTGCCTGACATCAACAATTTCGAGGCAGCTTTATCACCCCGCAAAACGCATGCACCTGTCCAGTTGTAAAAAATTGTCATCACCCAAGGGATCATATTTTTCGGACACAACCATACGTGCATGTAGCACAGTGGACTGTTTGAATCGGCCTGGATCAGTCATCTGCAACACTCCCAGGCCACCATGCAATCTAGCGCGCATGCACCACATGGAGCGTGCTCGCGGCTGTGTCGTACTGCAAAGCGTGCTGAGAACTTCAACTCGTTCACATCTGCTCAACTTTATTCTTCGCGACACAATTACAAAAGAAAGTGTCACAAGTGCAAACGATTCTAGCCAAATCAACATGCTATCCAATTAGAAGAATTTGAAACTCTTGCTGCAAACATGGTTCACACCAGAAGCAGTCACGGGCTTGAGACCAAATTGTGATTGAATCCTGGGCATCACCTCAAACTACTCATTGCAATCTGGTGTGCAGGCAGTAACCAGCAGTTGGTCAATCTGCATTGCTTCTCTCAGATCGTGCTCAGCACAACCTATGCAAGCATGACAGAGGCACACGGCTTGCCCTGTATGCCTGCAAGCTGTGAAGATAACAAAATGTGTCAGCAATCAACTTTTGAGACAAAAACAATTTAGAATTCAAAACCACATGGGGTCAGCAACAGGAGCGGCTGTTGGCTGACTCTCAACCAATCTGACGTGTTGCTCGACAGGGCTCAGACATCCACGCCTTTACATACAAAATGCACAAGTGGCTCCAGCTGTCCAGCTGAGTTGATCGCTCTGCTGCCAACCTTGGAGATGGCAGCGCTCATGCGCCATTTTCATAGTACGAAAATGTTCAATCCCATGATTGGATTCAAAGCGGTCAATTCATTGCGCCATGCCGTAATCATTCTTTCCCATTATTCTGGCCCGCAGGTGACTGCAGTGGCGGGGCGGGCAGTCGTCGATGCCTGGCAGTACAAGCGCACACCAGCGCAAGACCACTGACATGCATGCTACAGTGAAGTTTTTGTGTGTAGAAGGATACCTTGAATTCCTTGGGGTCGTAACCGACAGTCACCGCTGGACTGGGGGCGCGACGTGGCAAGTGTGCGGCAAGCAGCAGTGTGCCCAAAAGCGAGTGGGGCATCCCTGCCCGTACCCGTTCTACCGGGACTAGTGTCACCGATCACCTGAGGGAGACCGCGACTTGAACAGGTTTGCAGACATGTGAATGCCCTTTGCATGTGCTCCACATTCATATGAGCGGGAACCGCCCCTTGGGCCCCAGGATTTGAAGAAGTGGAGTAAGGCAATGGAGTCAGTGGTGCCAGCCGGCTTGCACGTCACACGTATTGAGCATTTTACGAAGAAATAAGTGCATGTGTGTGCTCCATCACAAACAACGCAGCTGTCAGCTGTCGTCTGCGATGAACACGACAGTCTCTCTTAGCGCGGGCTGGTCATGGTTACATTATTACGCACATGATCGAGTGGAAATCAGCTACGCAAGAAGCGCTCAATGCTACGAGAGGCACCAGCGGCTTGAACGGCGCCGTACAGTGCCAGCAGCGGCGGTGACTCTGTTGATGCTAGGTGAGCATACGCCCGCAGAACCGGCTGCACTTCACCGATACACCTGGCGGGAAGTGATGTACCATTGTGTCAGTGGCTGCAGCTGTAATTGAATTCCACGCTGGACACGGGGGCGGTGCGTCGTTTTGCATCTGTTTTCGGAGCGCAGCGCTTTCGCGCGGCCTTCGCCTCCTGTGCTTAGGACTGCTGTCCAGCTTGCCGCCTCGTCATCCTGCACCCGGCGCGACGCGCAGTGATGGTCGCTTTGGCAGTACCGGCGGCGCGCGCACAGCAGTCGATGCCTTTCTTAGGCAATGGCGACTACGGGCCGTCGGAAGCCGGGGAGGCGGTTGAGGTCTACGTCAGCGTTTTCGTTGACAGGATGCTCAACATCAACGACAGGGCTTACGAGTATGAGGTGAGGCCACAGTATTACAAGATCATGTCCCCTGTCGAGCCGCCACGCATGCTCCAAAGACTGCGGCAACGCAGCCGTGCCCGATCAAACCGCAAGCTGACGGCGGGCTGCACCCTGACACTTTTGATCGTTCCACCAATGTCCCTCACAAGGCTGTCCTGTGGATATATCTGAGCTGGCGGGACCCCAGGGTGAGGGGTCAGATTGCCGCCAACAGCGCCAAGATGGCGGCCCCGAACTCGACCTACGACTGCAAGTATCCCTGCCAGTCGACAGGCCAGGCGATGAGCGGCGGCTGCTGCGACGGCATCTGGCAGCCGTATGTTGCATTCACCAACATACGGTGGCTGCCTCAGGTGCGTGCAGGGTGGTGTGCGGGGTGCTTTGCCAGCCCTTCTCTCACCCACTCTGCCACCCTTTGCGTCGAGGGCGCTGTCAATTAGGTGACAGCATGCAGCTGCCTATAGCTGTATGCAAAGCTAATGTGTGCATCGGGCCTGCCGTCATTTGCACGGGCGGTGACGGCAGCGTTGGCCCCTGCCCTGCTTGCTTTGAATAAGCCCAGGCGTCCTCAGAGCTTCCGACTCCGGCTCCCCGGCCCCGTGGCCTTTCTCTTGGCCCTGTTCCCCCTCTCCACCCCTGCGCACCCACCCTCCCCTCCTGCCCCGCGTACCCCCCATTCTCCCCTCAGGATCGGGTTGAGCGCTATGCGTTTGGGTGGAACCCCACTGGCGACAACGTGTGGTTCTGGCGCAGCATCCACGCCGTCTATTACACCTCAATGGACCTCCAGGTGGGCCTTGAGGGGTTTCAAGAGGGTTTGCAGGCATGGAGGGACGGCCTCGTCAGTGTTGGGGAAGGAGGGGGGGGAGGGGGACCTTGTGGAGCGTGGAGGTGGGGTGCAGGGACGAGGTGGGGTGGGGGCAAGGCTTTGTGAAGGAGATGTGAAAAGTGCGTGCATACATGTGGAAGGGTGTGTGCGCGCGCACGTGCGCGTGCTGCATGTGCTTGGATGAAGGCGGGTGCGGGGGTAGAAGCCGTGAGCAGCTGCCTGCTGTCAGCAGTGTGTTCTCTTGTGAGGCATACCACATGGCACCGCGTGACCTCACCCCACGCACCCTGCCCCGCACTGCTGCACCCCATATCACCCGGCAGGCGTATCCCTTTGACAAGCAGTCGTTGTTGCTGCAAATGGAGGTCCCACAGGTGAGAATTGGAGAGCTCAGCTTCAGCCAGAGGCGGCCGCCTCTTCTAGGGGAGGCAGCGGCTCGCAGTGTGCGTGTGTGTGGGGAGGGGGCCGCCGCACGCGGCTTTTCGGCCACCCGCGCTTCGGTGCCCTGCTTGATCAGCGCCTGGCGCAGCCGGCCAGGCACACTTGGCTGCGGCACTCCGTCCTGTCCCCCTGCCACGGCAACCATCGCTTCAGCCGCAGCCCACCTTGCCGCCCCGCCTGCCCTGCCCGCGTCGCCCCGCGCCTGCCAGGCGCGCATGGGCTGGAGCGGCGCGCTGGTGAACCTCATCCCCTCCATCACGGGCGACGCCATGTTCACCGCGCGTACGGGTGCGGGCGCAGGGCTGCGGGAGAGCTCTCCTGGTGACCCCCCCCTCGACTAATGCAGCAGCCTTCCCCTGCTCCTGCTGCAAGTCACTGAGCATGCCAGCACCGATGCCTTGCCGGCACCAACGGCTTGCCCGCACCGAAGGCATGCCCGCGTTGTTTGCATGCCGGCACTGATGGCATGCCGGCATTGATGCGTCACCATTCCTGCTGATGACTAATCAGTACCAAGAGTTGGAATCGCCCAGCTGCAAGCGGATCCTCAAGCTGTGAGCCGGCAGGCAGCCTGAAGCGCAGCCGATGCACCTTGCGGCCCGCCGCCCCTCGCTCCCTCCATGGCCGCTCCCGCCTCGCGCCCGCCCTCGCCGCCGCAGGCAGCGACCAGCTCAGCGGCTGGGCGGTGGACGGCATCAAGCTCACCCCTTATAATTACCCCCTCTGCATGATGCCCCTGGAACACTCCAACATGCCGTCGCCACGCGACGATCCATCCCCGCTGGTCCCAAGTCACGCGTACGCGCTCAAACAGAAGGGCCGGGATAGCAGCTGTGCCGCGGCGATCGAAGCGCTGCCGGACCCTCAAGCCAGTGTGTTTTACCGCAGCTCACCCGTGAGGGGCGTGGCTGGGCAGGTGATCGTGGTGTCTGGGCTGAACGTTGAGATCGTCGTGAGGCGGTTCTGGGTGCCACACGTCATCACAGGTGAGGTCGTGGGCAGAGGTTGGGGTTGGGGGGGAGAGGGGCGGGTTTGGGGTTTGTAGGGCCCCTGCGGGTTTGGGGTTGTGTGCGTGCCCCGGGCGGGTCTGGGTTGGTATGGCCCCGGCGCGACCTTGTCGGCGTGTGTGTCACATGTGACTGTGATAGCATGCGAGTAAGATTGTGGGGTGGGAGCATGCACATGCCAGTCCAGTGAGCAGCACCCCTGGCGCCTTGATCCTCAACTGCCTGCAATTGATGATCCCGCGTTTCACTCTGCCGGCTCCCGCATTATCGATTTCACTCTCAACTCGAGGTCCTCCCGCGTCCCCTTCCCCCACGGCCCCAACCCCCAAACAACCCACAAAACCCGCAATGCGCAGCGATCCTGCCCGTCGTGGCCACCACCTGGCTGGCCTTCCTGGTGTTCTTCCTGCCCCGCAAGGACATGGAGGCGCGCCTGGGGGCAGTCACGGGGCTCTTCCTAGCACTGGCAGCCATACAGTTCGTCATCACAGGTTTGCCAAACCTGTGAGGGGCGGCCAGCAGCGGCCGCGATCGCTCGGCTGCGCCGCGTCCGCCCTTGCAGCTTAGTTGAGCTCGACGTGCGCACGTTTACAGCCAGGGTGGCAGGTGTTTGTTGCTCTCAGCTCGACGACCTGCTGCAGTGGCATTGTGGCAGGACCACACGGCGACACAAGCACATCCGACCCCATGCCCTGCCCCAACTCAACGCTCCCTCGTGCCTCTCTGGCTCCCGGAACCGCACGCGCGGCCCCGCCAGGCATGACCCCGGCCAGTTCATATGTCACGACGATGCAGCAGCTGGTGCTGGTGTCCTACGTCACACTCATCCAGGTGAATGGGGCAATTGGGTTGGGGCGTGTCTGGAAAGCGGTGGCGCTGCGGACCGAGTATCTGCAGGCATACTTGCATGGTAATGTGTGCATCCAAATCACAGCGTTGTTACTCATGGGTGTCCGCCTGTGATGTTACCCCGCACGCCAGCTGCACTCGTCACCACCTGCGCCTCCCGCAACCCTATGACTGCCACTGCCGCGCCCCCCAGACCGGCCTTGAGAATGTGCTGCTGTGGTGGCTGACCATCTATCACAAGAGCAAGCAGAGGTGAGCGCTTTCAAAAGCACCTTGCCATCAAGGGGCACTCGGCCTGCCATGGCAAGCGCACAACATCCCCTTCAATGAACACAACGCTGCTTGGTATCGGCTCTCATCGACGGGTGCAAAACCTGCATGGTCGGGCTCTTGAAATGCAAGTGCGCACACTGACATCATATCGCTGCTAGCGGTGCACACGCCATTGCTTCCCTTTGTGCCACTCTTTCTAAAGCTTGAAAACGAACGCCCGCCCCACACCCGCCCCGCAGGCAGCGTGCGCGCCGGGAGGCTCAGCGTATGTACCAGGAAAAGCTGGCGTCGGTCCGCCCCGCCGTCGACGCGTGGCTGCGCAACAGCCAGGCCACGGCGGCGGAGCGCGCCCATGGCGGCGAGCCGCCCCGCCGCAGCCGCTCGCGGCTAGCGCTCGCACGCTTTGGCGGCGG